CTCTCCCTGGGCACGAGCCAGCCAAGCTGTGTCCCGGCTACCCTCTGTCCATCTGCAAAAATGGACAGCTCTTATTGTCTCTCTTTCTCTGGATGCCCACGCACCCACCGTGTCAAGCCATGTTGAGCTGAGCCAAGCCCCAAGAGCCCAAGAGCCATGTCCCTCGTGCATAGCGTCAACAGGGCAGTTATACCTTTTACAGACAATTGTGGCTTAGAGCCGAGTATGAACTTAAACAGGTTTTATAACCAGTAGAAGTATGCACTTGCATTCCGGACTCACTGAGTCATGAAGGCCTGGATATCCCCCTCCTCCTATTCTTTGACCAAAGAACATCCATGTACCTTACAGGATACTAGAACCAAAAACCAGGAGGAGAATTCCCCAGGGAACCAAAGTTAGTCAGGGGCAGTGCTTGCTCTTGAACTCAGGTGCTAAGGCCATGTTCAAAGCTGACACGAGGTTGTCACACACAGTGGCATCAGTGCCACACTAATGCCAGGACTGAGACACCAGCCTTTACTGGAAGACACAGTTCCTCCCTTTCTGGTGAGAAGGCAGCCTAGAGGGAGAAAACCTGGGCCGCAACCTCCTTTGGTTTGAGATCTCAGCAGGCCTGTGTTTTCTTCCTCAGCTCCAGTGCCACTTCAGTCTCTGTTGTCCCTGCTGATAGGAAGAGTGACAGCACAGCAGCCCTGGAGAATGCAAAGGCAGACTCAAAGGGGTAAGACATGAGCCGACAGCTTCTTGGGTGAAGAGAGGCAGCTTAGGCTGTGTGTCCATTGGGTCTTTGGTTGGGAAGGTGAGGCCAGAAGCCCCAACTGGAACCCTCTTGCTTCTGGGGCCAGGGAGCTTTCCACGAAACACTATTGCCTTGACCAGGATGTACCCCATAGTCAGAAAGGGTCTTTCAGTCAGCAACCACTCTGAGAGCACCCGCCTTCTGCTGGACGCTGAAGCACACAAACAAATCAGAAACACCGCTGCCTTCCAGGAGCTCTCAGGCAGGGGAGTGGGCAAAGGCTGGTCCAGATTAGAGCAATACATCAGCGCTAGAGCAGGGGAAGGGAGCTTCATGGGAAGGTAGCTTTTGAATGGAATGTTGACAGGTGAGGAGGAGTCCTTCAAGCAGAGGGAACAGGATACGCAAAGGGCTCAAGAGATCCTGGCGTTTCCTGGGCACTGTATGTAGCTGGGTGTGGCCAGCGATGAGTGTCCTTGTGGGGGAATGCTGGCAGAGGAGGCTCAGTGAACTAGGTAGGGCTTGATTGGCCTCTTGTGCTGTGATATTGAAGCCTACTGTGTGTACAGCCCTCTACTCACAGTATCTCATACGGTCCTCTTCACAGTCTTTCAAAGGTTTATGCCTAATTACAACAAAACCCAAAAGCCTGGAGCCTAGGTCTCTGTGCCTCCTGGGAAGGATAGTGCTCTGAGGGAAATAGCCACGATTGAGATACAGTGATGGCAGTGAGGAGGGTGGAAAAGGCAACTCAGGCGAGCTCTTCTGAAGAGGAGAAGGAGCCAACTCTAGAAACAGCATGATGGAGAGAGCTGTAGATAAGGAACCACAAACCAAAGAACCCTGAAGTGGGAACATGCTTAGTATGGTCCAAAGGACAGAGTGGCTGGAGCCTGGCCAGTGAGGAGGGGCATAGATGGAGCAGGGCCTTGGTAAGCCATGATTAAGAGATAATATCTTATTTCAAGTTTTAAGCCAAAGGGGAGCCTGATGTGATTTAGGTGTTTAAAAGGTAAATGCATGTTTGCACTTTAAACCAGGATGCTGGCGGCTGGGGTGGGCAATGGATATCTAAGGTATGGGGTCTTATTCTGTTTCTTTTCTCTTTCAAATTGCACTGCCAATTAATAATCAGAGTAAAAACAATAGCTGACACCAATACTGTGCTGTGCTTGGTGGCTTACAGCCTCCTTAGCAACCCTGTGAGATGGGTAAGGTGGGAAACTGAAGCACAGAAAGATTAAGTGACTTAGCTAAGTCCTTACAAGTGGCAGAGCTGAGTTCCAAGGGAAGAGGCTCTAAGAAAATCCTCAGGAGAAACTATGAAAAACTACTTTATGAAATCTTGTCTTTGGAGCCTAGTCTCAAGACCCAGAATCAGTAACTTACAGCTGGTTAATATGGTTAACATGCTGTGTGATCACACTTAATTCTCCCCAAACCTGGAAAAGGATAAGGCTTCTTAGTATGCAACTTGACAGAGGAGAAGATTGAGGAACTCACTCCTGTGATGAACACAGCTATGAACAGAGCCCGGATCCAGCCAACTCTAGAGCCAGGCTCAAACTACTTTCCTCTGACGTTTAAATGTCTACAAAATCAGACTTTCTATTCTCTCTCTCTCTCTCTCTCTCTCTCTCTCTCTCTCTCTCCCCCTCCCCCCCTCCCTCCCTCCCTCCCTCCCTCCCTCTCTCTCTCTCTCTCTCTCTCTCTCTCGAGTTTCACTGGTGCCCCAGCTTGCACTGGTGTGATCTTGGCTGACTATAGCCTCTGCCTTCTGGGTTCAAGCGATTCTCCTGCCTCAGCCTTCTGAGTAGCTGGGATTACAGGTGTGCACCACCATGCCCGACTAATTTTTGCATTTTTAGTAGAGACAGGGTTTCACTATGTTGGCCAGGTTGGTCTCAAAGCCCTGACCTCAAGCAGCCCGCCCACCTTAGCCTCCCAAAGTGCTGAGATTACAGGTGTGAGTCAGTGTGCACGGCCAATACAGACTTTCTTGATTACAGTGTTTCACAACTCTGGCTCTACTTGATAATCAACTAGGAAGTACTGAAACACACTGCTGATGAAAAAGGCCATACTCTGTAAAATATATGAAGAAATTCTGAGCCAAATGTGAGGACCATGACCTGTGACTTAGCCTCAGGAGGTCCTGAGAGCATGTTCAGTTACAGCTTGGTTTTATATGTTTTAGGGAGACATAAGACATCAATCAATATATGTGAGGACCTAACTAATCAATACATTAGTTAGGTCCAGAAAGGCAGGACACTTCGAAGCTGGGGTGTGGTGGGGGTGGGGGTGAAGTTCCAGGTCATAGGTGGTTTCAGAGATTTGCTGATTGACAATTGGTTGAAAGAGTTCTATTATCTAAGGACCTGGAATGAATAGAAAGGAATGCCTGGGTTAAGATAAGGAGTTGTGGAGACCAAGGTTCTTATATAGATGAAGTCTCATAGGTGGCCGCCCTTAGAAGCAATAGATGGCAAATGTTTCTTATTCAGACCTTTAACAGGTGCTAGACTCTCAGCTAAACTCTTGAGATCAGAGAAAGTCCTGGAAAGGGAAAGAGATTCTCTACAGAATGTACATTTCCCCCAGGAGAAACAGCTTTGAAGGGTAATTTCAAAATATGGCTATATACAAACGTGTGTGTGTGTGTAAAATGCTTCAATTTCTTTTATTACCTGCTCTCTGTCATGCTATACCAGACTCAGGTTGGAATTTGTCATCTTATTGCTTCAAGGAATCTGTTTTGTCAGTGTGAATATCTCTCTCAATGTTAATGCTGGTCAGTTGTGCCTGAATTCCAAAGGGAGGAGAATATATTGTGGCATGTCCAACCTTCCCCTTTCTCATCATGAGCTGAACTAGTTTTTCACTTTGTGTCCCCTTGGCTGAGAGAAGTGTCAGTTGGGGAGCTTAGAATTTTATTTTTGGTTTACAATACAACAAAAACTTTCCTAAGCCCGGGTAGAGATTTGGATTTTATTTTTTCTGAAGAGGGTCTCCATCATCTGTGTCTTTTTCAAAGCTCCCCAGTTTATTCTCCTTCCAGGCTAGATTGAGAACCATGGTTCTCAGTGAGTGGTTCTGAACTAGGAGGAATCTCCCAAACTTTCCAGCCTGCTATGGTACAATGTCTGGGAGCCATTTTTGGTTGTCAAAACCGGGAGCAGGAAATACTACTGGCTTCTTATGTGTAGATATCTTGGATGCTGCTAAATATACAGTGAACAGGATAGCACCCGCCCCATATCCTCCAACACACACCACAGAATTAATCTGGCTCAAACTGGTAATAGTGCTGAGGTTGACTACCCCTGCTCTGGAGCTTTCACGATCTCTTTGAGAAAACATAAGGGATGGAAGAGAAAAAGGGATGGAACACAGCGGCACCCCTTGCCTTTCCCGGGTTCTGGGTAGCGGGCGTAGGACGTGTGTGCCTGCACGAATGCGCACTCGCCACAAGCGTACGGGTCGCGTGCGTGCCAGTGCACTTCGGCGAGCACGCGCCCGTAGCGAGTGCGCCTGCGCACGCCGCCATTTCTTGCAGCCACGAACTCAGTCGCAGCGCCCGCCGGGAAAATGCGACCGTCCACAAAGCGAAATGGCCGCCGGGGGCGAGTTCGGCCTCTGTGGGGATTTTCATGAGGCCGTGCCCGCGCCAGCCGCCAGAGGGCACCCAAGGATCACGAATGGGTCCGAGGCGCTGGCTACCGGGTCTTATGCGCAAGGTCTGCAGCCGCGGCCACAGTGGCCTTGGGGTGACCGCGAGTGGTCCGTCGCCGGCGGGATGAAGCGCGGTTCCGCGAGGGGCTGAACGGCTCCTGCGGCCTGAGGTTGTTTCTTAGGGAGCCCTGGTGGCCATGGCCTCTGGGACACCGGACACAGGTCGTCAGGGCTGTCCAGGGGAAGTGGGTGGAGACGTGCGGACAGGGAAGGCAGCTGGAGCCTCCGACCACGCTGGGCCCTCGGGCTGACTGGGCTGGGCTGTGGCGCTCAGTGAGGAGGGGTTTCCTTCCCTAGAAGTTTGATGACGGAGAGCCATGGGGTTGGCGTTGTCCTGACATCCTGCAGGGCAGTGGAGACTTACTTTCCTCAGGTTACTGCTGGAGTCTCACCCGCAGACCCAGGCTTGAACGACAGATGAATAACATACACTGACACAGATATCTTACCTGTCAGTCCTACTAAGGGGCTCTGCTCCTCAGTCTGCATCATCACCTCAATTGGCAAAGTTCGCATTTATTTAGTACAGATTAAATGACAGAGGTCGTGAATAAACACTACTAGAGGGTAATGAACATTGCTGACCCCCTAGTAGAGAGCAGTCATGCACCTGCGGATGGTTAAAGGTTAGTCTTGGGACCACATGAGTAAAGAAGCTATTTAGATAGACTCCTTTACATTCCTTTGTTATTTGGTTTTCTGCTATCAACTTAAGGTAAAGAGAATAGGCTGCCTTCAGCCAGATCTTTTACTGAAACTATGCAACCCCCCTGGCCTTCCAAGAAGGTTTGTGACTATTTTCTATAACTTTACAATTTCTCCCACCATCCTGACTGAATCCCCACAGGCTACAACACTATTTCAACTGTCCCAAACTGTAGGGACTCTGCTCTATTCTACCTTGGGCTACTCCATCACACTATGGGGAGAGAGGGTATGGTATGTGGTTGAGAGCCTGGACTCTGGTTCTTTGGGTTCCAATCCAAGCTCTGTCACTTACAAGCTCTGTGGCCTTGGGCATGTTACTTATCTCCTCTGTGCCTCAGGTTCCTCACGTGTAGAATAGTGGTAATCATACTTCCTACCATATAGGGCTGTTGAAACGGCTAAATGAGCTTGTATTTGTAAAGCATGTAGGACATTTAAACCTTCCAGCTAAGTGAAGCAGTACCAAAAGAATACCTCCTCTCCTTCCTACTAAACTTTTGTCATCAAATTTTATATCTAGAACATGCTGTTTTCCTCATTATGTTGCCAGCATGGGCTTCTCAAATTTGTTTTTTCTGCATGAGGATCAGTTGAAATGTAGGCACCACATTTCCTCACCACTGGCAACGTTGTTGGCCAGTGGAGGAGTCTAGCAGAGGTAGTACAAGAGTGGAAGTATCAGCTGGGTACAGTGGCTCAGGCCTGCCTGTAATCCTATACTTTGAGAGGCTGAGGCAGGAAGACCACTTGAGTTCCAGGGATTGAGAACAGCGTGAGCAACATAGTGAGACCTCATCTCTACAGATATTTATATATATATATATATATATATATATCCCCATATCCTCCAACACACACCACAGGGGATATATATATATATATATATATATATATATATATATATTTCTCAAAGAGATCGTGAAAGCCAGAGCAGGGGTTGTCAACCTCAGCACTATGACCAGTTTGAGCCAGATTAATTCTGTGGTGTGTGTTGGAGGATATTTATATATTATATATATATAATATATAAATAATGTATATATGTTTTTGAAACAGTGTTTCACTTCTGTTGCCTCAGGCTGGAGTACAATGGGGTGATCTCGGCTCACTGCAGCCTCTGCCTCCCAGGCTTAAGAGATTCTCCTGCCTTAACCTCCCAAGTAGCTGGGACTACAGGCACACCCCACTGGACCTAGCTAATTTTTGTATTTTTTGTAGAGATGAGTTTTTGCCGTGTTGCCCAGGTTGGTCTCGAACTCCTGACCTCAACTGATCCACCCCCTCTGCCTCCCAAAGTACTGAGATTACAGGCGTGAACCACTATGCCAGGACTACAATTTTTTTTTGTCAAGAATGGAAGTGTGTAGAGTTGGGAACTGACAGTGGCTGTACTAGGCTACTGGATCTTTGGTCCAGTTACATTCAGAAGGAAAGGCTTCAGAGAAATTAATCCCAAATCCAAGCCCCATTGGTCACCATCCCCTGTGTTATCTTGCCTATCTTTAACCACTTGACTTCCAGGCAGTTCATGAGGGGCTCAGACAGGATAGCTGGGAAGTCATTCCCCTGGATGTTACATTGTCCAGCAGAGCTTCCTGTGAATGTTTGCCTAAGATTTTTTATGACCCACATAGGTCATATCTCCTAAAATCACAGTGGCCCTGCCACAGACCTGGGAACGAAGAAGCCTTGTTCATCCATTTGTCCTTGTGTCACAGTGGAGCCCAAATTTCCCTTTGTGGAGAATCCTGGCTCTATCCACAAACTTACTGAGGGCAACCTCTACTAGAGTATTTCTACAGAGGACATGGGACAGGGTGAGACTCTGATAAAATCCATAGTAAAGCTAGCTCAGGGCTATCACTGTAGGGAGACAAGATCTTCAGGCCTTGTATGTTTATCTTTGGCTCAAGAAAGAATGTCACTGACAGAGGTAAAGTGGGTGTGTCAGGGCAGCCTGCTGGCAACCCTGGGACTGGTGTTACCTGTGCAAACCACTGTTGGCATCTACATGGGCTGCAGCACACCCTAAGGGTGGAAGCTGCACAGAGAAGCACAGGCCCCATGGGAGGGCTCCCCACAGTTACTGTGTGGCAATACACTCACTTGCCTGCAGTTCTGCCTGGTGCAGTTGGAGGTGGCAGTTAGCTTGTTGTCCCTGCTGGAGAATTTTAGTTCCCTCCCTCCACCTGAGGTTGAAGAATCACATTGCTTTCAGGGCATACTTTCCAAAAAGTGTGGCCACTGTTTGCCTTGTTATTCCAGCTTGAGGGCTGCAAGTCTGCCTAGACAAAGTTAACTCCTTTATATAAAGAGTCCCAGGGTAGTTGGTAGTGTGTTCTTGTCCCGGAAAGCCCCCACTAGCTATTGAAGGCAAGCTGATGATATTGGGAAAGTTACATTCAGAGTGATCTAGGATTGAGGTGATGGTGAACTAGATTTTCATTCTGAAATGCTGGGCTTATGCTCTTAGTAACCCAACTTGGTGTTTGCCCCTGGCCTAGTAGACTCTGGAAGCAGTACCTTGCACCTCGGGTCAGGGCTTGTGGTGAGAGGGGTATCCAAGTGGAAAATCAACTAGCAGCCTGTTTCCCATGGCACCCAGCCTTGAGGGTGCAGTGCAAGCATGGGGTGAGGCCAGGGAATACCCCTGCAGAGCTTGATGCCTGAGACATCTGGGGAAGCCCTGCCCTTTTCGCTGGATTCAGGGTTGGCAAAAGCCAAAAACTGGAGGGCCGGGTGCAGTGGTACATGCCTGCAATCTCTGCACTTTGGGAGGCCAGGGTGGGAGAATTGCTTGAGACCAGCCTGGGCAACTTGGTGAAACCCCATTTCTACAAAAATAAAAATAAATAAATAATTAGCTGGACGTGGTAGTGTGGACCTGTAGTCTCAGCTACTTGGGAAGCTGATACAGGAGGATGACTTGAGCCTGGGAGGCAGAGGTTGCAGTGAGCCAAGATGGTGCCATTGCAGTCCAGCCTGGGCCACAGAGTGAGACCGTGCCTCCAAACAACAATCACAAAGGCATCAGAGGTGGCTGGCTGCAGTGGATCTCGCCTGTCACCCCAGCACTCTGGGAGGCTGAGATGGGAGATTGAGACCATCCTGGCCAACATGGTGAAACCCTGTTTCTACTAAAAATACAAACCTTAGCTGGGTGTGGTGGTGGGCACCTGTAATCCCAGCTGCTTGGGAGGCTTAGGCAGGAGAATTGTTTGAACCTGGGAGGCAGAGGTTGCAGTGAGCCGAGATCATGCCACTTGCACTCTAGCCTGGTGACAGAGCAAGACTCTATCAAAAAAAAGAAAAAAGCATCAGAGGCTTCAGCTTCATCTATTACACATGGAGGCCTTTTCAGTGAGAAGGGAGCAGTGGTGCTGGGCTCCTACCAAGGAGGAGACTGTCTGCTCCCTGGAATGGGGGCTGTGCCTGGCTCCTTTCTGCCCCACTTTCAGGGAGATAAGCCCCTCTAAGTCAAGAGGAGGTTACAGCCAGGCTGTGTACTGCTGCTGAGCCAGGGTTAGTCTCAAAGCACTTGCCTCATAAGGGTGCTTATTCTTCCTCAGTGCCTTGGTTGATTATGAGGAGAAGAATGTGGCCACCAAGGCCAGAGAGGCCTGGCAGGAGAGCCCTGGAACCCGAGGAGGTGGCCAAGGAGACCCAGCTGTACCCACTCAGCAACCTACAGATCCCAGCACCCCAGAGCGGCAGAGCAGCCCCAGTGGATGTGAGCAACTCGTTGGACAAGAGAGCTGCGCCAGCAGGTAGGGGCTGAGCTGCACTGGGCTCTGCGTCTAGAGCTGGTGTATTTATTGAGGTCTGAGACCCGGGGAGGAACCACTTCCCCACACCTCATACCAGTACCGACACATTGTGCACCCAGGAGCCTGGGCTCCTGTTCTGTGAGTGGGTCATGGTGGTGATTCCCTGGGAGTAGAAAACTGTCATTGGCCTTTCCTGTGGCTCAAGGAGCTGGGAGGGGACTGTGATAGGAGGATGTATCTGTCCCCAGGTGTGAGAAGTCCAGGCTAATTCCCAATGCATGGGACAGGAAGGAAGGCTGTCTCCCAGAGTCCAGATGCTCTACAGAGGGCATCCTGGGAAGGGTGAGGGCTATTTGTGTGGGTAAAATGACATTGTCAGAGAAGGACAGAGTGTGAAAGAGCAAAAAAAGAGAGGGCAAAAGTGCAAAAGAGTGACAGAGTGAAGCAGAGAGAGAGAGAAGCCAGAAGGAGAGAAAGGGAGCACACGTGAGGAGGCATGAGAGAGTGACGCAGGATGCGGCGGCCATGTGCAGGGGTGTGCAGGTGCGTGAGCAGGAGGACAAGTGTGCCTGTGCCTGGAGCTGACCATGTGGCATTGGTGTGAGAGTTTCAACTCAGGCTTTCTCGAAGGCATCTCACCTACCAGTGCCAACATGACACGTCCATACAACTCTGGACATGTCACCAGGCCAGTGATTCTGGGGATGGAAAGCAAACAGTTTCTTACACAAGATAGAAATGTAGAAGGAGAGAGCCAAGACTCACATTTCCCCAAGAGACAGGAGTTGGTGGAGTCCAGCAGCACATCTGCTGTGGGGAGCTGGTGGGGCCTGGGGCTCTTTTTGCAGGGATGAAATAAACATGGTCATCCACTTTCTTTGTTCTGGGGCTTCTTGTACCACAGAGGTTCCATAATTATTAATAGTTAGACAGGAGGTTATTTTTAGGGCCTGGCTCAACTGTTAAATAACAAGTTTTGCCTTCTAAGAATATCTAACCCATGTTTGATTCCTTGGCCCCAGGCCCTGGAGGGGCCCAGTCCAGAGACACGGAGTGAATAACTTTGATTTTTCAGGGGGAGTGTCAGGAAAGGCTTTCTTTACAGGGAGACTGATGTTGGAGTTGGAAGGCTGAGGGAGACTTTGCCAGATGGATGTGCTTGGGAAGGCATTCCAAGTAGAGGCTCACAAAAGTGCACAAGGAACATTCAGTCAGGGTAGCCATAGCAAAGGACGGTTAATCCAGCCTGGCTTGGCAGAAAACACTGAGTGGGGGCTGCGCAGGCCCCTGCTCCTAGGCCAAGGAGAATGACCCACATCCTGAGGGGCCTGGGAGCTACGGATGGTTTTCATGTAGGAGAGTGCCACAGCCAGACTTGAGTCCAAAGAAGATCCCTCCATTGTCCTGTGGAGGATTAGGCCAGGGGAGTGTCCAACAAGACAAGGCAGGAGACCATAGAGGAGACTGTTTGTTTACACCAGGGGTGAGGCGATAAGCCTACAAGTAGTTTTAACTTATTAAAGGTAAAAGTGGGCTTGGTGTGGTGGCTCATGCCTATAATCCCAGCACTTTGGGAGGCCAAGGTGGCAGTATCACTTGAGCGCCCAGGAGATTGAGACCAGCCCGGGCAACACAGCAAGACTGTTTATACAAAATTTGGTGCGTGCCTGTAGTATCAGCTACTTGGGAGACTGAGGTAGGAGGACTGCTTGAGCCCAGGATGTCGAGGCTACATGGAGCCACGTTCCTGCCATTGCCCTCCAGCCTGCGTAACAAAACAGGATCCTGTCTCCAAAACAAAAATTAAAGAAATAAAGATAACAGTGAGGGAAAAGTGGTAGCCAAGGCTGCTCCCCAGATTTCAGGGCAAGGCAATTGGATAGATGGTGACAGGAACTAGCTGAGGGTGAGGATGTTGTGGGAAGGGATGCTGAGAGATGCAGAGACGATAAGGTTATTGGGCCATGCCGAATGAGAAATGCCTGCAGGGGCTCCAGCCAATGATGTCCAGTAGGCTATGGAGTAGACAAATCTGGAGTTGAGCAAATATCTGACCTGGGGCTAGAGAGCTGCCAGCTCATAGGAAGTAACTAAAGTGAATGCATGAGGCTGCCTGGAGAATGCCTTTGGAAGCCAGTGTGTATAAACCATGTATTCTCTGCTTTTCCCTGCAAGCTTCCAGGGCCACTTGTCCAGCCAGGCCCTTGGCTGGGTGGGTAAGTCCACGTGGTTCAGGGATGTACATCTAAAGGCATCTGCTTCATCAGCTGACATTTATCTCTATTTTCTCTCTTTTTTGTCTCAAAAAGAAAAAAAGAGGGGGTATTAATTATTGATCCCCTAAAACCCTAGCTGAATAGATGAAATGAAAAGAAGTAAAAATATGAGAGAAGCAAAGGCAGATGGACCATAATTTTGGAAAATAATACTGAGAGGTCTTAAGGAGGATGAGGAACTGCAGAGAGGTACTGAGAAGGAAAAGTTTGAATAAATGGAAGAAACCAGTGCACTGCAGATCCTAAAGTAAGCCCATCAGATTTGGCAATGTGGAACGCCTGACTGCCTTGATGGGAGTAGGTTGGGGCAGTGAGAAAGGCTGTAGCTGGATTATAATGGATTGAGGAGGGAGTGGAAGATAAGGCGGTGCAGTTGGTGGGGTACACAACTCTCTGAAATAGGCCATGATGTGCTGGATGTGGGAGGGGTGTGTAGGTAATTACAGCTACAAGATAACGGGGCCGGGCGCGGTGGCTCAAGCCTGTAATCCCAGCACTTTGGGAGGCCAAGGCGGGTGGATCACAAGGTCAAGAAATCCAGACCACCCTGGTCAACATGGTGAAACCCCGTCTCTACTAAAAATACAAAAAATTAGCTGGGCATGGTGGCCCGTGCCTGTAATCCCAGCTACTCATGAGGCTGAGGCGGGAGAATTGCCTGAACCCAGGAGGCGGAGGTTGCAGTGAGCCGAGATCGCGCCATTGCACTCCAGCCTGGGCAGCAAGAGCGAAACTCTGTCTCAAAAAAAAAAAAAAAAAGATAATGGAGAAGGTTTCCTATAGGTGAAAGCAACATGTGCATATTAGGTAAAGGCTGGGCAGAGGGTGCCTATGTGACAAGTCCCCAATAAAATCTTTGGATTCTGAGTCTAATGAATTGCCCCTCATTGACAGCATTTCATGCATGTTGTCACAACTCACTGCTGAGGGGAACTGAGTGCATCCTGTGTGACCCACTGGGAAAGGACTCTGGAAGCTTGTTCCTGGGTTCCCCCAGAAATTTGCCTTAATACTTTTTTCCCTTTGCTGATTTTGCTTCGTATCCTTTCACTATAATAAACTATGGCCTTGAGTATGACAATGTGCTGTGACCTGTGAGTTCTCCTTGTGAATCACCAAACCCAGTGATGGTCTTTGGGACCCCTAACACAGATGGGCAGGATTGGAACTTCATGCCATAACAAGGACTTTAGATTTTCTTTCAAGGGCAAAGAGAAGCTAGGAAGGTTTGAAGCAGGGAATGATCCATTGAGAGGTTTGCTTTGCAGTGGACTCTCCAGTGGCAGTGAGAAGAGTGGACTGAAGTGGGCAGAGTGGATGCAGGGAGAAGAGGAAGTGGCTACAGAATCCTCCACCTAAGAAATTCTGGGGCTGGACTAGGGTCCTAGTTGTGGAGATGGAAATAGACAAAACTGTAAAATAAGTAGAATGGATCCCAAACTGGATGACAGATAAGACTTGGGAGGGCAGTGAGGGAGAGGGAAGTGACAATTTTAAAAACCGCATTTCTGGTCTAATGACTGAGTGGAGTATGTGACCCCTCCTGGCTTAGGGGGCGGCCAAAGTATCTCTAACCTGCCACTCTGCTGCCTGCAGCAGACTGAGAAAATGCCTGGTCCATGGAGATCCCAAGCTAACAAGGGCACCTGAGGCAAGCCTCTGGCCTTCAGGTGGAGGCCCTGCCTAGGCTGGCCTGGCTGCATTGCCCTGGCACACTGTGCTGTGTTTCCGAGGTGGACAGCAGCACTCTGCAAGTACCCTTCTCCTCTTCCTCTTAGTGGTCTAAATCCTTAGCATGCTGGAGTGCGACTGTGGACAAATCCCCTTTCCAGGCCTGCTGAGTTCTCTCTTTGCAGTCTTTGGGTCTGGTTGCTGGTAGGCTAGGTTCATCAGGAGGGGTCAACTATGTTATGCCACCTGATGGGCAGCATTCGGAGTCTATGGACCAGGGACTTAAGGGCTGCTTACTGCTAATAATTCTGAGTAGCAAGCTTTCCCTCAGCCCTAGACTGAGCACACACCAGGAAGGAAGCTACTAGATGTGCTTTCCTAGTGGATAAGTAGCCAGGGGTTCCAAGAAGGGCAGAGACAGGCAGAGTGAGAGCCTTCGGAGATGTAGGCAATGATAGTAGCAGAATTTCAAGGAAGAGTAGATGGAAAAATAGAAAACAAATCCTTATCATTATTTTTAAATGTCTGAATTGACCAGGTTCAAATCTTGGAGAGTCTAGACACTAGGGAGTTCCCATGGGTAGGCCAGTTATTATTTCATATGAGGGACAGTAGGTATCTTCCAGCACAAGAGGGCCAGAGGGCAGTCAGTGCTGAGGATAAAACCTTAGGCCATGGGAGATTGAGTTTTTCATCAGTTTGGCAAGCTTTCACTTCAATACTCCATTGGTTCCATCATTTCAGATGACTGGGGATGATAAGGACAATGTAATTTGGGGGATAAAGGAAGAACTCATTATATTTCTTGAATGATTTTATTGGGGAAATGGATTCCTTAGTCATTTGAAAGAAGCGGTAGAATTCCCCATGTGGGGAAATACTTGTTCTAACAAAAGCTTAGTGACATTAGTGGCAATGTTCATTTTATATAAGGGAAAGCTTCAAACCAGCGAGAAAAACATAAATATCCTAGTAAGAACATATTCATAACCATGAGATTTGGGTGCCAAATAAAATGAAATTGGTAGTTAAAGAAGGGTCCTAAACATCTGT